CATAGTTTCTTTACTTAAATAATAAGTAAATTAAATGAATGTGTACATATATTTTTATTTTTTCCTTTGTATTTTATTCTAAAGCTAGTATATCAGATGCACTATTTTACACTGCACTTCTTCATTTAATAATTTATCTTGACAACCTTCATTCAATAGAGAGCTTCCAAACAAAATAGCTCTAGGTCAGGAAAGCCGTAAGTCCAATAGATGAGAGCAGTTTATCAGCATAGCTTCCCAGGAGTCAGGGAGCAACTGGGATTGTGCCATTTGTCAGGAACAGCAGCTCAGTCTCCACACTGGCATGCCTTCTACTCCTCAGCCACGCTGTCTCAGCCCTGAAGAGGCCCTACCTACAGAACCCATCAACTTAGTGGATCCAACCTACTCAGTTACCACATGACAAAGCAGGCCTGGAGAGCAGAGAGCAGCGGCCCTGAGCCAGACAGTGCTCATAAGCAGACCCGGAGGTTGCTGGTCTTGTGCATTCCGGCCCCAAGTTCTCTCAGCTGTGCCACTTATGTCACAAACTTTCAGGGATGTCGTTATCGAAATAATAAATTTCAAATTCCTGTGCCTAGCACTGGTTCCAACTTAGAAGGAAGTGGGGTGTGGTGTGGTAGGAAGAGGGAGACACTAGTTGTAGAGTCAGGAAATCTGGGGTCTAGTCCAGAGCCCTCTTTGGGCCCCAGTTCCCTCATCTGTGAGATAAGAGGCTGGAACCACATGCTCTCTAAAGGCTCTCTGCTAAAAGCTCCAAAGTCCTTCACTAACACCTTCTAACCACACAGAAGATTTTGGTCCTTGGGGCTGTGCCTGTGCTCAGATTGTCAATTCCACCTGGAACGTACCTTTTGTCTCTCTGCCTCTACATCTTCCAAGGCCCACTCTGACTCCTCCCGGTATTTACCTCTTCAGGAAACGTACCCTGTGAACAAGCTCCTGCCTCAGCCCTTAGAACACCTGGCCTAGACTACTCCTTCTAAAGAAACTAAAATCCCTCAAGTTGCATGGTATGGTCAAACAAACAAACAAACAAAAGGCAGAGTGGTTCTAGTACTAAACTCTGTCATCAGGTAACCTCAAGCGTGTCTTTAACCTCTACAAACCAGATTAACAACCTACCACACAGGTACACAATGAAGATTAGGGAAAAATGATTAACACGGAAGCATCTTATCAGGTACAAAGCACCATATCCTATAGGTGAAGTATTACTTGAACACCAGAAGTAGACTGAAATTGTTAATATGGAACAGTTCTATTTAAAGCTAAATTGTCACACCAAAAAGTGTCCACTCTTTTTAAAAAAAATACATGCACATACATGAATGTTTGCCCACTTACACATACACGTATATTGAAGGGGAAACTCAACCTAAAAGACACACACTGAACATGACCTGGACTTAAGAGAAAACACTTACTTGAAATCCTGCCACGTATTCTACTCTGTAATGTGAACCCTTTTGCCAGAACTTCAGACAAGCAGTCCATTGACTATGAAACTGAACCTTTCAGTGGAAGGAATCAACTGCAACCTCTGGTAGGATACCATGAGCCTCTGGGACATGTTAAGGCATCTATGGCTTCCCCCCAGTGCTTCTGTGCTGATCAATAAAAGCAAACCATTCAACCATTTCTATAAGTTGTACCTCTAATGATGACACTCACAGAACAGGTCAGTGTTACTTGTTGCAGTTGGTGGGTCAGGAATCCAAGCCCTATCTTCTCTAACAAGCCAGGCTTGATATTTCACCCACACCTGCTTCTTCCTACAATACTGATAGTACCGACTGACTGGCACACACTTTGGTGCTGGATCTTACACACCTCTGCAGCATGTCAAATGTCTTCCTTGAGTGGCAAAGACTGTGTTGTAGTTCTCACATATTCCCAAGAGAACTTAGCACAGGGCTTTCACAGCACAAGAAATATGCTCAGAAATACTGGACTGACTGAATCTGAACTGAATTTGAAATTGTAGTTATAAGCATACAAAAATTTAGAAACAAAAGAATTTAGAAACAGAAATCAAAATCAGAATTCTTGGAGTTCCTAAGTGCCGAATTTAATTCAAAACCTACCAAAGAGTACTGATTATTCATATCATTTGTATTTTCATTCTGTTTGTAGGCAAAGTTCCATAAGATAGTCATTCCCTCTCCAGCAAGGAGGTGGAATTGATCCACTTACATTTTCCAACCCACAATGCCCCCAACAGTTCTCCCACGGAACCTATTATACTGATGACTCTGATGCTGACAGGTCTGCTCCCCAAGACAACTAAATGATCCTCAGAGGCAAGAATACCACCTAATTCATCTTTCTTTCATATCATCTGAGTCCAGAGACACATAACAGCACTAAACAACTTCCTGAGAATGTTAGGAGAGAAAGTTAAGAAAAAGAGCATGAGATTTTAAGCCTGCCAGCCAGTCGGTCCATCTGTACTCCAATAAATACTTTATAAGAATCATAGTAATTGATAATAAGAATGAGGATGAACAAACATGTGAAACCCAAAAACACTGATGGGGTTGATCACAAAGCAAATGAGTTCAGTCTCCCTAATTAGTTTATCATCCCAACTTGAAAGCATTTAAATTCTGTCATTCTTTAAAAACATTATTCTTTCAAAAAAAACCTTTCATGACCTTTGCCTGGCATTTTTATTAAGAAAAACAAAAAGATTACTCAAATTCCACTCCTCTGCCTTAAAAAAGAAGAGTAAAATCTAAATCTCATCCCAATATAGGTGGCAAAGTCATTTTTTCCACTATAAGTAAACACTTACATTGAAGCATATAAAATTGAAAGTATGTTAGTGAACTTCAAAACATGGTGGCAAAGTCATTTTTTCCACTATAAGTAAACACTTACATTGAAGCATATAAAATTGAAAGTATGTTAGTGAACTTCGAAACATGCATGAATTTTGCTACAACCTGGCAGGCAACTTCTAGTTAAATGATCATCACTCTGGAATGAAGAAATACCTCCTTCAGTCAATTTTTTCAAGTAGCTACAAGCTACTAGTCAAAGTTTCAAATTAATGAAAATTACATATTTTCATTCATGTAGAATACCTAGCCACATTAATTCTTCCAACTTTCTCATGTACAAATTGGCCTGAAGATTTGGAACATTTGTACTTCCATGAGGTATCGAGTTATTTTACATTACATTCTTGCCCCAAAGCTAAAGGGTGGAGGGTGCTTCTGCTCGGGTTAGCTAGAGGTAGGCAGAGTACTGAAGAGACCATGGTCCCTGCAGTCAAGCTTGTGTTTAAGTCCTGACTCTACTACCCCGCTGACAGTATGATGCTGGGCAAGTTATTCAGTCTCTCTGAACTTCTATTTCCACATTGATAAAACAGGGTTAATTCAGGGACTTCCCTGGTGGTCCAGTGGCTAAGACTCTGAGCTCCCAATGCAAGGGACCTGGGCTTAATTTCTGGTCAGGGAACTACATCCCACAAGCAGCAACTAAAGATCCTGCATGCCATAACTAATACTGAATATCCCACTGAATATCCCACTGAATATATTCAGTATATCTTATATACTGAATAAGACCTAATGGAGCCAAATAAATAAAATAAAAATAAATTTTAACTTTTTAAAAAAATAGGGTTAATTCAAACTTCCCATAGCTGTTACAGGGTCCATAAAGTGAGTCACTCAGTTGTGTCCAACTGTTTGCAAGCCCATGGACTATACAGTGCCTGGAATACTGGAGTGGGTTAACCTTTCCCTTCTCCAGGGGATCAAATCCAGGTCTCCCCCACTCCAGGTGGATTCTTTACCAGCTGAGCCACAAGGGAAGCCCAAGAATACTGGAGTGGGTAGCCTATCCCTCCTCCAGGGGATCTTCCCGACCCAGGAATCGAACTGGGGTCTCCTGCATTGCAGGTGGATTCTTTACCAACTGAGCGAGCAGGGAATCCTTGGGGACCATATTACATTATATATACATAAAGTGAGTAGCACATAACAGAAACTCAATAAATGTTAGTTTCTCTTCCCACTTTTTTCACAGCCACAAAAAAACTTATTCAACACTCTATTCATTAAAATATTTAATATGTTCTATGCCAGTTTTACGAGAAAGAGCTCTTGATTAAAAAAAAATAGCTTTATAAGCAGTCACTCTTCTCCTACAGCTGATTTTTTTTAACAGCTTATTTCCAAAAACCTGTGCTTTACTTTGGTTCTGACTGATTTGTGGAATTTGTCACTGTCATTAGAATAAATAATCAACACATTTATTCTGAAGAAACTAGTAGCCAGGGGAATCATTAGAAGGAATTCTGGTACAGAAATCCTTGGCAGAATTCTAGATTTCCATCAAGTTCTCAAAATTTTGTGAATTCTAACAAAATGTTACCAATTTTTATCCTATGAATATGCATTTGTTTCAGAGAAAAATTCCTGTCTGGATTTAGTTTGTTATGTTATTCTGGATTTAGCTAGACATTTGCAGAAAATGAGTTAACTACTATATTAGTTGCTATTTATGTGGTTAAGTCACCGCTGGGCTAAATATCTCCTGAGCGGAAAAAAACAGTCTGGGATTTAAGCCAGCATAACAACTGTCACCAAAACGGAGAGCTTCTGGAGATGCCAAGCATTTTGTTTAAGTTTGATGAATTCTACTACAGGATTTTTTGTTTTTCAAGGATAGTTGCTACTATTCCTACTCTGTAGTTCAGCAGAAATGTAAAAGTTCCCTTCCTCTAACCTTCTGGCATGTAAGAGAGGGACGATAGACGGCATGCACTATTTTTATGTCGACAGCCAGAGCTATTTTAAGCTATTTTACTACTATCCAAAAAGGTTAGCATGACATTAGTAAGCTAAAAAGTAAATTCTCGGTTTTTGGTCACTTAATAAGAACATTACTTTTCAACAACCCAACTGTCTATCTTTTGGTCATACAAATAAAAATAAAATTCCAAAACATAAGGCATGATTGAAGCCATAATTAGAAAGTCTTACCTTTTGGGCATCTCCCGTAAAATATGCAATGGCCAGGGTGGGCAGAATCATGAACAGTGCATTGTAATAGAGCAGACCATATTTTCCCAGCTCCTAGGAGAGTAAAAAATTAGGTGGTTCATTTGGTTCCAGCAGATAGATGGAGACAACCCTGAACAGAGCACCACCCCCATTATACACACACACCACTCCCCCCACAATATACATAGCACATTAAGTCAAAAATTTTGCAAACACTAAGAAATAACCTAAGCTTTCAAAAAAAAAAAAAAGCAAACTTACAAGATTTTTAGTTTATTTGACATAAGTTCCTTGAGTACTTAAAATCAGAGAAATAAAAATGATATCAAGTGGCTGTCTCAAAACAGCAAGGAGAAAAGAAGTTATTTTGAACAAAAAGCATCCATCTCTATAGAGACATGTCCTTGGAGCCCTTCCCTTTCCAGAACAGAATCAAAAGTCCCCAGGTTAGTCCTGGGCTGTTCCAGAAACATAACAGTGCAATTTAAGAGAGAAGAAGGCCAGATCCACACACACAGACTCACACCTAGAACAACATAGACAGACATAACTTCCCAGTATTTCTGAAGTTATTTCTGAAAATGTACATGGGAAATACAATGAAGATTAAGATTACTCAAAAAAAAAAAAAAAAGAAGGGAAAAAGATTACCATTACCCTACAATTCCCAAAACATGGTATGATTAGCTGTGCCCTCAGCTACTTGGGAGCAAAAAAGGACTGCACACATCTTCAAACACAGGGAACCTAGGAGAACGCTGGGTCTACCTGTGATTCACACAGTTCTGGGACATTCAGCAGGAAGCCATCACCTGAAAAAGCAGTCCTAGAGTTCAGGGGATAAAGGAGTAGTGAGGATAAGGGCCATAATATCTGCCTAACTTCTGGGATTGAAAGATCACCAACTGATATGAAAAGTCAAACTACCTTCTCAAAAGCAGATTTTTTTTTCTTCAGTGATTTTTTAAAAAGTTTTTATTTTATATTGGCATATAGTCGATTAACAATGTTGTGTTACTTAGTTTCAGGTGTACACAAAGTCATTCAGTCATACATATACATGTTATATCTTTTTCAAATTCTTTTCCCACTTAGGTTATTACAGAATATTGAGCAGAGTTCCCTGTGCTTCATCAAAAGCAGCTTTGAAAAACTGGAAACAAAGATGCAACAATAGAAAACTAGTCGATTAGACTATGATACACTCATACAATGAAATGTTATGCAGCCACTAAAAATGGTTAGTAACACTGGTAAGGAAGGTGTTCATGAAGCAGTACTAAATGAAAAATACAAAATAGAAAACATTATTTATCACCACTCTTTTAAGTTTTTCTCATAGTTAAGTGTGTACATGCATATATAAACACACACATTCCTACAAAAGGGTATCTACTGAAACAGTGCTTCTCACTCAATGGTGGAATTAAGAGAGATTTATATTTTCTTCCTCTTGTTTATCTACGCTTTCTACCACTTCTATTATAAATACATGTTATTTGTATGAATTCTTTAAAGTTAAAAATGTTTTAAATTCAGGAGCTGCATTCAGGTCTGAAATACAGCACTAAGTCCTTAGGCCATGGGATTCATGCTCAAAGAACCATGATTACAAGTAGTTCTGAAATTATAGGTAATAAAACTCCAGATATACTGAAAGCATCTCAGACAGCAAGACAGCAAGAAAAAAGCCACAGTAGGGCAAAGCAGCCTGTAACATCAGGTGCCGCCTCAGCAAGAGACGTGTTAGCCAGCAAGTAGAGGATGCCTACACACACACACCCCATCCAGGCAACTGACAAAGGCCAAACTGTTGTTTTTTCTTTTTACTTGCTGCTTTGAATCTCTTTTCTCCTGTCCTCTTAAACAGAGCACATCGACTAAAATTTAATTTAGGGCATCATCATAAACATGCATTATATACTGTGTTTTTACAGGATGTTGCCATTTTTGAGTAGTCCACCTGACTGTCAGTTTTCCTGTTTCTCCTGTTATCAGCCAACCTTTTACACTGCTGGTAAGCCTCTTCCTCTAGAAAGGATTGTTGCTCCTAATCCATGAACTATGAAAAGCAGATCAATATGCTTAAAAGTTCTAATACAAGTAAGTCATAAGTCATTTCTGAATGAGGAACTAAAGGACACCCCTTGGAATAAAATAAAATACAGAAACCATCTTCGCTTTTTTCTACATTCTAGGACGTAGTCCAGTAGTCATGTATGGATGTGAGAGTTGGACCGAAGGATTGATGCTTTTGAACAGTGGTGTTGGAGAAGACTCTTGAGAGTCCCTTGGACTGCAAGGAGATCCAACCAGTCCATCCTAAAGGGAATCAGTCCTGAATACTCACTGGAAGGACTGATGCTGAAACTAAAACTCCAATACTCTGGCCATCGGATGCAAAGAACTGACTCATGTGAAAAGACCCTGATGCTGGGAAAGATTGAAGGCGGGAGAAGGGGATGACAGAGGATGAGATGGTTGGATGGCATCACCGACTCAATGGACATGAGTTTGAGTAAACTCTGGGAGCTGGTGATGGACAGGGAGGCCTGGCATGCTGTGGTCCATAGGGTCCACGTGGTCCAAAGAGTCAGGACATGACTGAGTGACTGAACTGAACTGAGGCTGTACTCTAGGTTGTGCTATCTAACACAGTAGTCACAGGCCAAATGCAGCTATTTCAATTTAATTACAATTACACTAAACTACTACTGCAGTTCCTCAATTAGGCCATCACGTTTCAAGTGCTCAACAGCTATGTGTGGCTAGGTGCTACCATTAACGGATAGGAAGAAATAACAGATTTCCATTATTACAGAATTGTACTGGACAGTACTGTTTTAGACAGCTAAGGCTGGTGGACTAATAAAATGTTATTATTCCTACCTATTTCCAAAGCAGCAAAAACACAGAGCAAAACTAAATCTCAAACTGCTCCCTTTTCTCTAGCTATAGTACAAAGATAAAGTTTTAATAGTAGCTTCCATTAAAATGCAACCACCACATAGTCATCAAGGCAAATAAATGGAGAAAAAGACATAAAAGGTGTGTTCAAAGAAAAGTTGTTGGAAATAGAGATCTGTACTGTCCCTAGATCTTCTAGGTTAATTTAGAAATGATTTAAAGTATATGGGAGGATGTGCATAGGTTACATGTAAATACTATTCCATTTTATGTAAGATACTTGCGCATCCAAGGATTTTTGTAATCACAGGGGTTCCTGGAACCAGTCTGCCAAAGATACTGAGGGGCAACTGTCTGCAGGACAAATATGCAAAGTCCATTCTTGTTCTGCAGCTCCTTCTCAATCACTTCTGAAATCTGCTCAAGGGCTTCCAGATACTTCTCTCTTGTCCAGGTCCCTCACCAAGTCCTCCAGGACATAGCCATGAACATTCATGACATTTTTCTCTAATGAACATTTCTTATATCACTATCCCACTCAAAGTCAATATTCACCCAGTCCCTTCCAGAAAAGCCAACAGTGAAATCTAATTGCTAATTAGAAAATAAAGTTTCTTACATGAGCACCAAGGTCCAGGCATTTTACCCTCAGAGATTCCCTAGTCTTTCTCATCTTTCCTAAGTATCTTCCTCTATTCTCCACTTTTTCCCTGAAGGACTGACATGACCATTCCCAGTATCAGTAAACATCTCTTAAAGAAGCGTTAGATTGCTACCTACTTTCGAATCTAATTTTTGTTTTACGTAGGCACCATTTGCTGCTGTCAGGACATCATTTATCAGAATAAAAACATAACCTTCCAGATCAAATGCCAAGTCAGAGCTGCAAAACAAAAACAACACTTTAATAACAACTAACATTTAAAGAACATGCATTAAATTTTAAATAGATCTGAACTACAATATTTCTAAGAACATATGCTTATCTCTGTAAGTGAATATTACACATTTTATCAGCTACTAGTATTTCCTGGCTCCAGGTTACAGTTTGCAATTTCATAATCAGTAAGGCAGTCTGCAGAAATGAGAAGCACTAATGCTTAAACACAGTCATTAGAAATAATCAGCCTTGTCAGTTAATAGCACACTATTCTTAATTCAAAGTCAGGCAAGACAGAGTCAACCAAATTCACCATTACAGTACATCTGAAGCAAGCAGAAGGCATCAGAGCTCAATTTCACAGATAAGGAAACCAAAAGGAGAATGAAGTTGTTAACATGTCATTTTTCAAAGGTTCACACAAAAGATAGGGTTATCTTGCATAGATGGCTGGGCCACTGGGTGGAATTTCTGAAGTGTGGATTGCGGTTAGTTCTGAGATCACGTTACACTAGTGTCTAAGTACACAGTGTAGGCTCAAATACTTAAAATAATTTCCCAGTAAGCCTACTACATATAACTAGTGAGACTAGGGAAACTGAAGTTTCTTAGTATTTCACAGAGCACCAGGCAGAAGAACTTAGTAAACTGAAGAGAATAAATGAAAATCTAAGAAGAATATGCCATCAGCATACTTTAGCACCCTAGCTAAAACAGGGGCCCCACATTCTGTGATTCTGCAAAGGTGTCATCTCTTTGGAGTTCAACTACTCCACGGGACAGACTTCTGAGCAGCTCTATGCCACTGCAATGTCGGGCAGAACTATCTAATGACCACTCCCTCTTCCAAGCAGCCTGACAACCCTCTAACTCTTCCTCCAAATTTCTTTCCCAAGTAAAAGGTTCTAATGAGATAAGGCTGGGCCAGACAGCAATCTGCCTCAGAAACTTTTTGCAGGTTAGAGTTATCTCGGAGAAACTCCTGTGTTTGGTTCAATTTTGGATCCCACCAGCTTCGGTGGGATCCAAGCTTAGCAGGGCACTTTTAAAAAGAATGGTAGGCGATTCACACAGAATTTTTCTCCAAGAAGGCAAGATTACCTAGAGGGAAAAGCAGTCAGCTATATAACAAAATTCTAGTAACTAATTACTTTTTTTTTTAGAATGAAATTTAACTCGGAGAGTTCGGGTGGAACAGAACTGACTGTTCCCACACACACGCACCTGTATTACAGGGATATGATAAAGGTCAATGAGCCAAATCAAGCACACTGGAACTCCCGGATGGAAAATACATGTCAGGTAGAATCTGCAACATTAGCAAACCCATACGTGCATGCTCTGGGCTGAGTAAATGTTGTAGAGGACTTCTACTCATCATTTCCATTTTCTGGGTCTTTGTATACGTGCTGCCAAAGCGAGTACTACTTTTCTGAGTCTCTGGATATACATTTTCTTCATTTTAAAATTAAAACTTAAGAACAATGGAAAAAAGCTTTAATAATTTAATAGAATATCCAAGTTTTGGCATTTGTGACTCCTTAGCTGAAGCCAAATAACACAATTCTGTTATTTATTATCCCATAAGGCAAATAATTCACAATCATTTGCCTTCTCTGCGACACCATTTTCTTTAGCAGCATGCAAAGGAAAAGAATGCTACACGGTTTATAAAAGAACACAGGCTCTGCAGTCAGGCACAGATTCAAATTCCAGGTCTGCCATTTAATAGCTATGTGACCTCGAGCAAGTTACGGAACTTAGATTTTCATTTCCTTAACATAAATAGGAAAATAATACCCATACCGTTCAGTGTAGTTGTGAAAAACACATAAATAGTATGTGTAAAATACCAACATATGGAATGGCATATGGTATGCACTCAATAAATAGAAGACAGCATAATAAACTCAAAATTACATGAATTTAACTTTTAAGAATCCCAAGAATCTGATTTTGCTAGCCTTAATCTTCATACAACCAAAAAGATTTAACGTTTTGAAGTCTCTGAATACCTTTCAAAGACATGGTTCTTATTTAGTCTATAAAAAATTCTTTTCATTGGTAATTAATCATTTATTATCAGTAAGTATTGACAAATTCTAATGCACTCTCATAGGTTTTATACGGGCCCACATCTTACCTTGCAGCTACAAAGGCTCCAATGATCATTGCAAATACAGTCATCTTAATACCCCAAGAAAAAGTCTTCCTATAAAATAATTTTAAAATATACATGTGGCTTTAGTTATTTACAAAGACTCATTTTCCAACAAAAATGTTTTCTTCCAAAAAAAACTATAAACAAATGATTCCAAGGAATTGGATATTTAAAAGAACTTTTCTAATGAAGCAAAAACTTATTTTCTTATATAAATAAGTATGCTTATTTCCTATCCTTATGTTATTATTATTGAGTTTAAATTTTTGCAAATCAGATTTCTTTAGGCAAAAAATAGTCACACACATTTGTAGTAAAGCAGCGTAGTCATGAATATGATTTAAAACCCATACTGAACTTCTGACTCAGCTTCACCCAGTGGCTTCAGTAGGTATAGGAATTCTTTGAAAGCATATCTCATGTTCAAACAGGCTTCCATAAGGAAGTCCTAAACTATTAATTCCTATGGCAAAGGAAGAAAGCTGCTTAAACTCAAAAGATAAAGTAAAACAACACAAACAACTGGAATATCTTACATATGCTGGACACCTTTTCAGGGAGCTAAAAACTTGTTAAAGACTAAATATATTAGAAATTTAGCTCACTTGAGTAAAACTCCTTCAGCAAACATTGTAAACAGGATGGAGAACCTTCTCAGAACTGTAAACATTGGCAAGCTGAAAAAAAAACAAACAAAAAAATACTTAGGTAGAGTAAAATTTGATTCTCCAAAATTAGTATTTTAAAATAATGCTAACCTTTTCCATTATAAAAAGTCCATGCTAATTAATCTGTCACTAAATTAAATCCTTACTTCTCTATAGAAAGTATTTAAAAGTCTCAAAGGGTTGCTTTTATAAAACTACTAGAAGCAAAAAACTAATTATAAAATGGTAGAAAATATACATCTGTTATCAAAGACTAGTAACAGTCACTTTTTAATTTTACCCAGCTTATTATGTTAGACATACTCATGTTGGTCTTTAAAAGATCTTTCTTTTCTAGACTGATCTCCCTTCCAAGTCCTAACCTTCAAACATTGGTGATCATTTTAAAACATTCCTTGATTGTCCTTTTGTGGCAGTAATTCTTTCTTCCTCTAAATTCCCAGTGTATTTTGCTTGCACTAATCGAACATACAGCCTCTTGCAATATAATTATTTCTGACTCTATCACCTCACTCCAAAGTGCCTTATACTTGGCTAGCAATCAAAGATGGGGCATGAATAGATGGATGGATGACCGACAACGGAAGAAAAAGAGCAAACTCTATACACAAGTAGCACTCTGCAGCAGGTGTGTATTTCTTTCCAAATGGGTAATGAGATGTATGGATAAAAGGATGCCCCACACATGATAAACATGACTTCCATAGAACCCTCCCCAGAAATATCATCGTGATCATTCTGTCAAGTTTCTTGGGTCTGAGGAAATGAAAAAACCTTGGTCTCTGACCCTCAAGAGATCTCTCCATTCTGTTTTACAATCACCCATTACACCAGAGGTTTAACTCACATGGCAGTGGTGAAACCTTGGGTTTCTGTTAAATGGTTTCCCTATGTGTATATTTTGAACATCACATGTTCCTGATACATAAACTCCTTAAGTGGAGAAGACAAGAATTGGGAAGTTACAGGGTAATAAGAAAGTACTGTCAAGGAGTAGACAGCTATTGCTTCTTTCTAAAAGTGAAAATGCTGCCTCTACAGTCATATGACCATGGAAAAAAAATTAATATTTTTATCAGGGTTCTATCAGATGTTATTTTAACTACCTCATGTTAATGAAAAGCTACATCTAATCTTACTTGTGAAATGTGCCTAAAATATAATACTTAAAAATTGCACTAAAGAATTGAAATCTCAGAAGCCTAACATATATCCTTCACTATTATATGTCTGGAAAAATAATGAAAATCTCCCATCACAGTATTTTATAACATTTTAAAGCTTCTATCATCAAAGTGAAAGGGAAAAAACCCAAAACAAACAAAAAACTCCTCTTCCTCTTCAAACTTAAAGAGATTAAACTAAAACCTTTGGTGTAATCTTTATTTAGTAACAGAAGCTTCCTGGTCCTTTCTTTTTCCAGAATCAGTAACAATGTGTTAAAACATTTGACATTCAAGTACAATTTTAAGAATACATTATATTAACCTCACTAGTAAAATAAAGTTATCCATACTTCAGTTTCTTTGTGCTGAACAGTCCCGTGATTTGGTTCCCAAAATATAGTAGAGGTAGTGGAAACGTCTAGAAAATTTAAAAAGGGATAACAAAACTCAATAATAAAGACAGCTACAACAAGGTCCTTTTCAAACAGAAACAGTCTTGTTTATATGATCAAATTCTTTCCACATAAAACATAAGATTAGTTCTCACACACAATTTTGGCTCCTATAAAGCACCCAAACAACATTACTCCTGGATAAAGAGCTCTGTGCAGAAAGAGAGAGGGAAGAATGGAGGGAAAAAAAGAAACAGAAATATGAATATGCTCAAATCATAGAGGACAACATCTTTGCTTTAAAAAATGATAATGTAGAGCCAATGGGTCTAATGTTAGCAGAAAAAGGAAAGGTATTGCATCTTCAGGTGGAGTCAAGCAAAGACAGACCAAGGAATAAGAAAATAAACCCAAAGAATAATGACTGCAGGATACACCAGCTAGATTAGATAGCCAAATGCAGAAAACGCAAAATGGCTGTAATCCCAACAAGTGTTTATTAATTAAAACAGAATACAAGATCTAGGGGCTTCTTTTTTTTCTTAACTTTAAAGGGATTGTGGGACTTTTTAAAAACACTTATTACTACATTCATTCTTGACCTTCCTTGTACCCACTTTGGACTGGGCAATTTCAAAGCTGCAATTTTTAAATATGTAAGGCACTGATGGAAAATATACATAGTGACTTCATTTCGAAAATAAAGTATTACTATTATTTTTTTTTTACCTTTCGAGGTACATTTCTGTCAAAGTCAGGAAATTTGACCACCCTGAGTGCCTTTCCCACCCAGAGTACTGCCACTGTAGCCACCATCTGTAAACAGAACACAGATTCACTGTCCCACACATAAAGGCACACTCAGAAGTTCCAACGACACAAACCACGGAATGCTGAAGATTCCAACTAACCTGGCCAAGTCCAACACATAGTGAAGAGGGAAACCTACAAAAATGGTAGAGAGGGGGGAAAAAAAAACACACAGCGTCAGAAAAACCCGAACTCAACCTTACAAATGCAACCTTACAATGCATTTTGACACAAAACACACCAGCGTCCGCCCCTTATTCAAACGACAATCGGTAAGGAAAACCACTGATGGTTGTTGTCAGGCAACACCGCTGATTTTGTAGCTTCGGGCTGCCACTTGTCTCATCTTGTTCGTTTATACAATTTCAGTCAGTTTTCTGCAACGGATTTTTCTTGGAAGTTAAGACAAACATCTTTTAAATGGTTTCGCACCTTTCTAAAAAGGTACTTCTGCCTAGGGGTCCCAGCGGCAGCATTACACTTTTAAATGGGCTTGAGGATGCGTAGGTCCCCAGAGGCTGCCAGCGAATTCGGGGAACCTTGAAGCCCCGGACCCCGGCCCAGGCTGTGAAGAAGGGCGGGCAGCCCTCTCCGGCTCCCAGTCAGGCATGCACGGGAGTCGAAGAGTCACGAAGCAACTTCGCTCCGTCGCTCGGAAGAGCGGGGTTTCCAGGGCGATGCACCGCGGGCAGGGCAGGAGCTTTCCGAACGCACGCCCGGCGGTCCCGAGCTTCGCGCTCGGAGCGGGACCCCCACACCGGGCCGCCGTGCAAGCCGGCTCCGCTGCCCCGGCCGCGTGTCAGCCGCCTGCCCGCCCTCGCCGGCTCCCGCCCAACTTTGTTCAGCTCCAACTTTGCAGCCAAAGTCCAGGGAGCCGGCGCCCAGCCGCTGCCACCGCCCGCTCCTTTCCTCTCCTCTCCGCGGCCTGGGCCGCCACCGCCTCGGCCCTACCTGTAGTTGGTGAGCACGCTCTTGTTGACCACCACGATCAGGAAAGAGCTCACGCCGTAAAAGCCGGCGGCCAGCAGCTTCAGGAATACGGTCAGCGTTTCGGCCGACGCCATCCCCAGCTCCTCCTCATGTCTGTGTGTGGAGGATTTCGCGGGGGCTTCTCCTTTAACCCGGGCATGCTGACGTCTATGAACTTCCGCCATGGCTGCGGCGGCGGGGCCTGCGAGGGAAGCGGCGGGCAGCGGGCCCGAGCGGCGCAGGGGTCTGCGGTGGCAGCTCGCGAAGAGCTCGCGGGGCCGGGGCCGGTGCTCTAAACCGGTTGCGCTCGCCGCCTCGGCTCCCCGCGCCGCCGCCGCCGCCTGTCTCCGCCCAGGGGCAGGGACACTGGGGTTCACACGCCCGGGGACTTTGGTCGGGCATTGTGCAACGCGGGGTCAGAGGGTAGGGCCCGCTTCTGGCTCGGCCTGGGCAAGGGCTGGAGAGGGCTCCGGGAAGGGCCACTGGCGACCCTGAGTCCCGGACCGAGAGGGAGAGGAACCTTAGGGGAACCACTCTGGGACACCGGGACTGCCGGAGCACAGCACAGTCGCGGAAAGAAGCAGCCGGATAGCGCCTGCGCGCAAGCCTGCTCCGGGTCTCTCCGCGGCCGCGTACCTGGGATGGGAGGCTGGCGGCTGAAGGACTGACAGCCGTATATTCTAGATAACTCCGGCACGAGGAAAATAAATAAATAAAGACCCGCCTCCAATAGGTAACAGGTGGTCGGCTCAGTAGTTAACAAGGTGCCTGTGTCTAGACTAACTTGAATGCTCTTTTGGTCTGTCTTGCAGAAGGTCCAAGCTCTTAAAGAGTATCAGATATGGACCAAGTGTAAACATTCAACAGCTATTTGAGGCATTCTGCGTTGCTTCGGATTTCTTACGGTTTGTGAACCCAGAAAACACCATACAATACAGTCTTATTTGCAGATCAAGGGAGATTGTTTAAAGAAAAGTATTGCGGTATCCAAAAAGTAGAAAGATAATCAATTGGCTTGCGGATTGGTAAAAGAGCAGGGTATTAAGAGCTGAGTTCCTATTCTAGGTTTCCTAGAAATGCCCCCTCACTAGCTGTGTACTCTTGGGTCAGTGAGTTGACCTCCCTAAGCTTGCATCGCCTCATCTCTGGATATAAAGCTAGTTTCCAGTAAATGGTAGACATTATATATAAGAGAAACAAATCATTATTACCAGCTTAAGCAAAGAAATGACATACCTAATTTTAATGTCAAGAAAGAAAAGTAACTTTGAATTATTTACCCCAAAATTTGTCTATAACTTTTCAATTTTTTCCACATTTAAAAATTATAGTAAAATTTACATAACACAAAACTTACCATCTTTACCTGGTTTTTATATAGTGAAATATGCTTAAAATTTAATATTTTAAATTTTTTTGAGTACACAGTTCAGTTTAACTTTTTTTGAGTACATAATTCAGTGCTGTTAAGTATATTGTTGCACAACTCTTACTGCTACCCTTCTCTAGAACTTTCACATCATCTCTAACAGATTATGAAACTACTAAACAATAACTCCCCATTGCTCCCTCCCTCCATCCTCTAGTAACCACAATTCTATTTTCTGTCTCTATAAATTTTATGATTCTAGGTACCTCGTATCAGTGGAATCATATAGCATTTGTCCTTTTGTATCTTCATTTCATTTAGCACAGTATTTTAAAGGTTCATCCATGTGTAGCATGTGTCAGAATTACCCTCCTGTTTGAGGCTAGATAATATTCATTGTATGTACATCTTTTGACCTGTATGTTTTAAATTATCCTGATAACACCTGTGTTCTTTGAATGTTCCTTAGTAAACTCTAGCACAAGGATGAAATTTTTAACATGGTCTACAAGGGCTTAAGTGACGTGGCTCCTGCCCTCCCCACATATTCCTCCCTAAGTTTTGGCTAACTGCACCCACTTCCCTGAAGAATATCATAGGTTCCTGTTGCCTATTTATCCATCCTTACTCCCATATTCCCTCCATCTGGAATGCTTTTTCCTCTCCCTCCCCTGCCTCCTGAAGAACTCTTTACTTTTCCTTCAATATTTATGCAAAATCCTATCTCCTCTCTGGGTACCTTCTTTCATACTGCCTCTCCTTGCCCTCCATAGAAATGTCATCTCTTGTGCTTCTCCCACCGCAACTTTGTTCATCCCCTTTTATAAGGGTTCTAGAATTAGCTGTTTGCCTGACAGTTTGTTCCACTTCACAGTGAGCTCCTGGGGGCTGGGTGAGGCAGGGATACCTAGCACTGTTCGGATGTTTTTGCTAAATGAATCAATGATATAACTTAAACGATGAGAAAAAAAAAAAAAGGTCAAATTTCTTCCTTAACTGCTGGCAGTAGAAGAAAAATATTTGGGAAGCTATATTTTGAGAAACATCCCTTGTGAAAAAATTATTTTGAAAATAATAATGTCCCTCATAACAAAAGCAAACAAGCAAAAGAGACTTGTATCACCTGTTCTCTTCCTCTCACCCCCAACCCACTTCTCAGAGAAAGTGACTGCTAACTGTTCAAAGGCTGCGTACTTAGAGCCACTCTTTGTGCTTACATGCACACCTGCACACATACATATACATTTACATGCATGCACATATATTTACATGTGTATTGTTATACATCTTTTAACATAAATGGAGAGAATCAGGTGAGAAACACTGATGCTCAAGCCAGACACTGTCTCTGATGCTGGTTTTGCAACCTTGGGCAAGTTACTTGACAATATGGTGCTTCAGTTCCTTTGCCTATAAAATGGGGATAACAACAGCACCTACCTCTTAGGGTGATCATGAGAATTAAATGAGTTAAGTTACATGTTTAGATTATAGTACACACTTTACAAGTGTTCATAATAATAATAATCAAGGAGATCAAACCAGTCAATCCTAAAGGAAATCAGTCCTGAATATTCATTGGAAGGACTGATGCTGAAGCTGCAGCTCCAATACTTTGGCCTCCTGATGCAAAGAGACAACTCATTAGAGAAGACCTGATTCTTGGTAAGACTGAAGACAGAAGGAGAAGGGGCCGACAGAGGATGAAATGGTTGGATGGCATCACCAACTCAATGGACATGAGTTTGAGCAAACTCAGGGAGATGGTGAAGGACAGGGAAGCCTGGCATGCTGCAGTCCGTGTGGTCACAAAGAGTCAGACAAAACTTAGCAACTGAGCAACAAAATATTAATTACTATTAATACCATTATGCAACCTTTCTCTCTTCACTTAGTATTCCTTGAAGGCCTTTCTGTGGCCGTAAAGAGACTATCTCATTCATTTTTAATGGCTGCCAAGAATTCTGTTGGCTGGATGCATCATAATTCATGAGGTCCATCCCATGGACATTTAAATTATTGCCATTTTTTCAGTTTATAAACAATGTGTCTTTGATTATCCTTGTCCATTCCACTTTTGCAGGTATCAGTTTCTAGAAATGGAATTGCTTAAAGACTACTTTTTAAAAAAATTAATGAAATGAACAATTTTTTCCCCAAAGAGGTTGTACCAATTTTTTTTTAAGTTAATTTTTATTTTTTATTTTTTTTTAATTTTTTTTAATTTTTTATTTTTTTTCATTTATTTTTATTAGTTGGAGGCTAATTACTTTACATCATTGCAGTGGTTTTTGTCATACATTGAAATGAATTCCACTAACACTCTAAAATCAGATGGGGATAATGAAAACCACTAAAAAAGTCCAGATAATAGTTCAAGTGCTACTCTGTGGAAGATGAAATGCCAGGTACAAATTTCTGCAGTAACACAAAATGAAATAAAAATAAATTGCTTAAAAAGTACATATCTGAGCAATTACTATTGTTTTTCTCAGCATGTTTACATACTTTACTAACAAGTATTTACTAAGACCTACCATAGGCTGAGAACTGTGTTGGATTTTCTCAACTCCAGTAGTGATTTGTGGACACTCAGTAAAATGCTATTAAATCTAATAGAGTCACACATTCTCAGTACATGCCCATAAAGATAAGACCAGGTTCCAGTATTCTAGAAGGATTTTTATTATAGGTATTTAGACTTGTAGGCATTTTAGGCACTCAAATCTGTTTCCTAACCTTAGTAATATTAATCACAGAATTATATATGGGAAATTTATGCATTATCTGATAAAATTTGATGAAGTTTGAAACATATCTAAATAAACTGTACAAGATTGAAAAACCTAGATTTAAATGTTCTCATTGATATACATGCTTACTCTATTTATAAATGTCAACACTGTAGGCTGATATATTTTATATCTTGCTAGGTGTGATTACCAGCAGAAAAACCTTCTTTGTATTTAAATCATGTCTTTTGCTTTAGCCATTACATTTCTCCATGGGGGAAATTGATCTGTATCCTATTTGTTAACATGACTCATATTTCTGTGTTTCTTTTCCCTACACTTCTCCCTTTCTGTAGTTCACTTGCTCTTCTGATACTGGAATTTATTTAGCCCTTTTTGGTGTTTACCTTTGTTCACCAATTTCTTGTTTCACTGGCAGCCTAGATCACACCCAATAACCACTGTATTGCATCACTGATTACACCATAGCCGGGGAGCAAAGGTTTTAGGTGTCTCCTAGCTGAACAATGCTTTTAAAGTGCATGGAAGAAGCATGCAGCTTCTCTGCAAGGCCTCATCCTTTTCTGTGTTGGTTGGAAGGAGATCTTATTGACAACCAATGGTGAACCTGGCAATGTGCTGCAATTTAAATTCATTATCTCCTTTCATCCTTACCACTTTAGGAAGTAGGTATGGTGAAATAACATAGTAACAGGAAAACAAAGACCTAGTGAAGTCCTGAGTCCCACAGCTCTGCTGCTGCTGCTGCTGCTGCTAAGTCGCTTCGGTCGTGTCCGACTCTTAGCGACCCCATGGACTGCAGCCCACCAGGCTCCTCTGTTCATGGGATTTTCCAGGCAAGACTACTGGAGTGGGGGTGCCATTGCCGTCTCCGCCCACAGCTCTAAGTGACTGTAAAGATTTGGCCCCAGCCCATTCAACTTTTTGTTTGTGCTCCTCCACTAGACAGCCCTGTCTTATACAGGGTAGGTGGACATACTTGCTTTTAAAGTTCTCACAATGCCATTACTTCCTTCAATTACTAAGGTTAGTGTTCAGTAACACTGTGAAGAAGAATAACCAG